ATAAAAATGCAATCGTCAGGACTGCACCTTGTTATTTTAACTCAAAACTCGATTCGAAACTGCTTTTCGTTGCGATAGCCGCTTCAGCAACTTCTGACTATATCATAAATTTTTATGTACTTAGCCATTATTAAGACTTCTGACAATTAATATACAGGTTCGATAAGCAACAAATAATATAAAAATGCATTTATCAGAATTGCACCAAGTGGTTTAAATTTAAACAATTTCTTTACAACTTTGTCGACTAGGAAAACTGTCAGTCTTTAAGCCCCGACCTAGACTTATGACACTAATTTCCCGAGATTCCTACAGTTCAAAACTATAACTACACCAAATTTCAGAACTTCACCTAATTATTTTTTTTCTTATCGAAAAGGAGATTGCTCAAATTGGCCTAAATGCACAAAAAATATTGACATACACGGTTATTCTTGGCGTAATTTATAATTTAATTTACAGTCATTAGATTTCAACGGACACCTTTGTATAATATATTTACTTTAAAAAGGACTTTTAATTTTACCGGTTTGGAATACATACGAATCATTTTTAATGGCTATGGGTGTAGTATCCTTCAGCCAAAGACTGATCGAAGTATACAAGTATAAGATCGAAGTATAAGTTTTTATGTATATAAGTACATAAAAACAAATCTATTTTGTAAAGATCGATAAAATATTTTTTTTTTATTACACTGTGGTATTAATATCCACAACTATATTATTATTTTCACTCGATGCAAATGTGCTCAGACAATTATTATAGATGGTAGGCGACATCATAAAGTCTATTGCCATACATTTTTCGCCAAACACCTCCATAAACACATTATAATCTGTATATATGTTAGACTTTAAGGTATCTATCTGTGGGCCTACGTTCCCGGACTATAAATTAATAAATAAATAAAATTATAAGGTGTGATACACTAAAAAACTAAAATATAGTTATCTTAAAAACATAACAAAAATAATGAAGCTACTGAATATATGGCTATAGAACCTAAATCTCTTAGCTTTCTTTGGTTAACGAGAGTTTAAAAATTCTCTCTAATCTGTGGCTCATTCACAATCATCACACAGTTTCTGTCACAGAGTACCTTATTATAACAGGAAATGACACCTGGTTTTAAAAGTTACTCTTATGCATTAACTTTAAAAACAGGCAGCTATCTGTTAATCTACATGCTCTATATACCTGAATCAAATCCATAATTTCGGTACTTGGCTTGATTTCAGTTTACTATACAAATTATTTGTTTTTTATTATTTTAATATTTTCAGTGTATATGGTTCATAGAAGTTCTCAGGGGTGTCCGTCAATAATATTCGTTTCTACAGTAATTTATATATAATTTCGAATCTAGGAAACAATTTTTCATGATTATTGGTCTTTAGGCCAAACATGTATGGGAGCTGAGCAATCTCCTTTACGACTTTGACCGCCCACCCACGCCTTCCGCCCCGGGAGAGAGTTCTGACGGGCCTCGCTCTTTACTTATAAGCTACCAAGGAGAGGTAATATACACACACATTATTCGTTACTACATCTTATCAGTTCACGTTTTCGTAGTCAGCTCTCCAACTATAAGCTATTGTGGCCGCATACCAACAGGCGGGTCATAAGCTTGTTTGAACAAAAACATCCATCCATGTTTCCCTTTTTCCCACATGTTTCGAAGAAAAATCTATGAATTTTTCCCAAATGTTTCCAAAAAAAATCTATCCATTTTTACCTTTTCCCACGTTTCCAAAAAAAATCTATCCATTTTTACCTTTTCCCACGTTTCCAAAAAAAATCTATCCATTTTTCCCTTTTTGCCCTGTTTCCAAGAAAAATCAACCGATTTTTCCCACATGTTTCAAAAAAAAACGATTCATTTTTCCCCTTTTCCCAAATGTTTCCTAGAAAAAGCTATCAATTTACCCACATGTTTAAAAAAAAAAATCCATCCATTTTTCCCTATTTCCCACACGTTTCCAAGAAAAATCTATCAATTTTTCCCACATGTTTCCAAAAAAAATCTATCCACTTTTCCCTTTTTCCTGCACGGAAGCTCTGCAGCGTACCACAGTCGGTTTATTTATGAACCAACTAAAAAGCCAGGTGACCGCAAATATCCGATGAGCCGGACAGGTATGTTTTTGATGCAAACATACCAATAACTCATACTCATAATACCACCGAGATGTTGGCATACCGGAGCGTGAGTAATTTGCCGTCTGACCTAGATTTCGGTTATGTGTTTTGTTTTTGATTTCCCATTTCATACATCAACCACGAGTTGTCGCCTAATGGCGAGATTACATCTGGTCGTTAGCCCGAATACGAGTGCCAATGGAATGCGGGTAAACGCCTGTATTCGGATAGATTTCCTTTTATTTATCCGACACTGTCTTCCAGTCCGTATTCCAGTCTGAATATTGCTTCGGTGTTTCATCATGTCAGCCGTACGACGCCCACTGCTGAGCATAGGCCTCCCCCAAGGATCTCCACACCGATCGGTCCTGCGCCACTCGCATCCATCGGCTGCCCGCGATCTTCACAAGATCGTCGGTCCACTTTTTAGGGGGCCTGCCCACTGAGAGGCATCCGTTGCGTGGTCGCCATTCCAGAACCTTTACACCCAAACGGCAATCGGTTCTTCTTGCTACGTGCCCCGCCCACTGCCACTCCAGCAGAGCAATCCTTCGAGCGAATTTGGGTAATTTGGTTCACAACACAATCCTACGGATGTAGCATCATATTTTTATCAAGTACAAATTTAAGTGCAAATAATTTAATTCTAATATTCCCTTTTTTTGAAAGAGTGCCATCTATGGTCACCTACAAGAATTAGCATATGTAAAGCAAGTCCATCCCATACCGAACCATCGCTTGCCGAGAAAATCTAACTGTATTTCCTAGAATATAGGGTAGGTGGAGTTGTTGATTAAAGTGAGTTTATCTTCACAAAATTTCTGCTTTACACCGCTTGGAAAGCCACTATAGCGTTAATATTTTCTAGAAATAATATTGAGAGGCCTGGTCCCTGATTCCGTTTCCTGCAGTAAATATCTCCTTATTTGGTATTGAAGCCGATACCTCTTGCATAGAATGTTCTCGGTGCTTAGAGATATAAATAGTTGTCCTCGCCAACCATGCCTTCCTTTTTGCGCTATGGCACTCGAAGAAGTCTATTGTTGAAAGTCAAGGAAGCAATTTAATTTTGTTGTTATAATAATGAAATCAGACAAGACTGAAAGTGATCATTAAAATAAAAGAGTATACGAAATCTCACCCCGAATTAACGGGTAAGTTCCATTGTATTTAATCTCATTAGGTTATAGAATATCCTAGGTCTGCAGTTCAATTCTAAGGGTATCCCCTTTTTTGGTTGTTTTATGTCCTTTGATATACTTATTGTAAATGTTGGACAAAACACATGCATTTGTAAAGTTGGGAATGTCTTTTTGAAGAATTATGTGGATTAATCTCCTCATAGTGTGAAGTTTGATAGTTGACATGCGAATCATCCATGAGATACCGATGACAGCATATTCGTTAGCGTTTCATAAACGATACATTGGGCAAATATACGGTATGCATTATACAAAATATGCATTTTGTATTTCAGTATGAGCAGCCTTCAGAACCAAGGGTTTCGTCGAAGTTGTCAACGATTTGGACTTGGGCGATTAGTGACCTGCTCAGGTGCATATTTTGACTACCACGGCGATGGATAATTTTAAATTTAGATTCTGGAGTTGAGGAATATGTAAGTTTTCTAACCTGCCCAACAAATACACGGTATTAATAATGATGACAGTGATATTGAAGAAGATGAGTTTCGTCTCTATCAAGGTTTCTGCCTACCAAACTACACGAGTCTGTCCTAATCTAGATGAGGGTATTCTCGACCTCATCTCGATGAGGTCACAAATCTTCTTTCTTTCTATAATGGATAAGGGGTCGATCCACCGTCAAGAACAGTGGTGACTACATCAGAAGTTTTTAACCCAATAGATTTTCTCTATTTTATATTTTGTAAACAATGCAACACTCGTCGCACTAGACGTAGACACGCTGGAATTTTAGTGTTGTACTGTCCGAAATCTTCTTCAAAAGCACGGCATTAATTTCCGTTTTTTCCAAAAGGGTTTTCAAAAATATTTCTACCTTCAGTCCGAAATTGAAATGCTAGGCACATGCTCGTCAGAGTTCTAAGCCTGCAAAAACCTGACGTTCACTTCGTCTCAAAAGCATCAAATTAATCTACATCTGAATATTTTACTTGCATTTCATTCTTAAATTTTCAGTAGTTTGATTAAAGGAATTTTTAAATATGATTGCTCATCTTAAAAAACCTAATAGAAAAACGACCTTTGTTTATTTACTAACACTAAATCTTAGGGAATTGCCATTAAAGTAGTTCATATATTAATAAAGACCTATAAGCATAAACATATCCAAAATTTACAAAAAATAGATGTTCAATGTTCAATGTCATGGGCTTTAAGGAGATTGTTCGTTTTCGGAACAAAGGGCATTATATAATTAGGTTAATATCTAAACCTTTATATGCTGATTTACGTTATAGTTGGTTAACCATATAAATAATATCTTCGTTGTTATCGCTGATCAGAGTAGTATCGTCGGCATATCGCAGATTGTTTAGCCTTTTTCCTCGATTATTTTTCCCTAGTTTGTCCAGTCCAGCCTCGTAAAGATGTTTTCAAGGGTAGCTTTGCACAATTTCAGTGATATGGTGTCACCCTGGCAGACCCTTCTCTCTAGTAGTAGAACTAAACACATTTGTTAACTTGCCAAGGCAAGTAATTGATTTAAATTAAAAACAAGAAAGGGCCAGCACGTGAACCCTGAGGAACGCCAATGTTTTAAGAATTTCTATGGCTGTTGTTTTTTTTTTATTAATTGTATTAAACTTGTTTCTACATATAAATGACTTAAGCTTTCTTTCCGAATACCACAAAACTCTAAGCAAGAGAGAATTAATTGTCAGAATTTATAACTAAAACAAAATAAGTCAAAACTCATGTCTTTTATTAAAACGATATTAGACGCTAAGGGTATTTTTTTCAGTTTTCAGCGATCGACCTTATCCAGTCGACGTAGGGTTCGACGGCGGCACTGACTCCCGGGTAGAATGCGTCGGCGCAGCCGACGCCCCAGGACACCACACCGATGAGCACTCCACTGTCACCGTAGTACAATGGACCACCGGAATCACCCTGGAAAACGCGTAATGCAGAAATTAATGATGAAACCACAAATATTTAGAAGTTATACTTGTCCTTTATTTTAATCTTCATTTCAGAACATTTAGGGCAGTACCATCATAATAAGTAAAAGACTACTCAGCTCTATATTATTGGTTTCGAGTTTGAATGTTTCTGATAGAATCTAAACTAAACTAATAGTACTCCCCATGACTAAGTAATAGTAGTAGTAAGTTTTGAGTATTTCTTGAAAAAAACACTACAAAAATTGATATGGCATTGGTTTCAATATTCCAAATGCTTCGATATTTCTCGTAAAGATGTTGTCTATTTTGTTTTCATTCAATATACTGTAATTTTTCCGATTCTACACTGGCAGCGAAGGAAAAACTTTGAATGAGCCATCTGTTGAGTTTCACGAGCAGGCAATAAAAATTAATAGCAACTTCTCTGGTAACTTTTACAAATAATAAATCGATTTGGTGCTGTCGTTAAGATAGGTTGCTAAAAAAACGGTAAGGTAGTGATAGTAAATACATATATTATAATTAAAATATTTAGCTGTTAAATTTTTATGACCTGGTCGAGTGAAATTTTTGCTAATATTATTTTGTTTAAATATTAATATAATAGTAATTTATACCTGGCAAGCATCCTTGCCACCAACGTCGAGTATACCACCACAGATCATGTTACTGGTGACGGCAAAAGGTGGACGGTGTGTGAGGTAGCGCTCGCGGCAGACCTCGCGATTTATGGTAAAAATTGTGACGTTAAGAAGCTGGCTAGATGAAACGCCACCTTGCTGCAAAAGTAAGCGTTATTTAATCAAAACACATAATTCTTCCTAAACCAATTCGTCGTGACTTCATTCAAAAAATCACAAAGTATGGAATTAGAAACATACTTTGTACCAACATTGAAAATTAATATTAACATGCGCCATGTCATGTTGCCCAGCATGTGACGCACGAAGACGCCATTAAACTTGACATGTGGTTATTGATATGTATGCGTAAATAAAAGGCTACCGTTTGGCTAGACGTTTATTAACGGACTGGTGGGGACAGCTTCGACACTCGGCTGACAGATAAATAATTATTCGATTACCTTCTAATATACTACAATATCCCCCCTTAAATTACAATAATTCACATTATTTCCCCCCCTACATTTACAAAATAATTATGTGATAAATTAAAATTACAATTTTCCCGATTAACTGCACGAGGGTGTAAGACCACAAAATACAAAGTTCTAATTATAATTATAACACAAGAAATTATAACTAAACAAACGAATTATAATTACAAAGATATACAATTTTTGTGCTATCATAAATGTTTTTTTTTTCAAAACCAAGATTTAATTATATTTAAGGCCGTATATAACTCTAACATTATACATTAGCCCTACTCAAACAGATACATATTTATTAATTATTACATATAGGTGCATTTAAATAAAATTTAATAAATAATTCTTTCATCTAGCCAATAACATTATTCTGATACAAAAAGAAATAAAAACAATATTAATTGATTATTAAGTTAAAATACATCACTATTTATATTATTATTTCATGCTAATTAAGTACTAAGCTAAGTAAGTATTGAATTTAAATAACACATAAAAAAAAATACCAAATTTAACACAAACATTACTTAAATATTTAAATAAACAAAAATGACACCTATTGATCTTTAGGTAATTTTAAACGGCATTTACGAATAGGGCGAGGCGCTCGCGCGCCGGTGGGCGGTAGTACAGGTTTATCAGGTGAGGAGGTTACAACGAGAGGATCACGGGTGGACAGTGGCTGCGAGGCGGCATCTGTTACCATAGTATGTTCCTCGTGGTCCGCGTCAGTTACGACATCAGCCGGTGTTACGTCCGGTAGACTGTCTTGGTTCAGCGGTTGGTCACTTGTGCTGGGGATGGCGGATGGCGATTCATGTGACAGACCTAAAATGGACCCTCTGGATTTGCGTTTTAACTGGTCTATGTATCTATGACAATTTCGCCCTACCTCGTCTATGATTTTATAGTCGGATGACCCCAAACACTCACTAACTCGTCCGGAGACCCAACGCTGTGGCCCTTGATATTGGCGTAGCCACACTTCCTCTCCCGGGTGTAATCTCTTGGTATTACTACTACTAACTTTATCTAATATAATTTTTTGTTTAGGATCCGGCCTCAGAATATCCAATTTCGTTCGCAAAGATCTACCCAACATCAAACTTGCAGGAGATTCGCCTAACGTACAATGTGGCGTATTTCGATAATATAATAAGAACTTATCCAAATAAAGATTAACATCGGTTTTTAACCTAATTGCCTTTTTAATTGCTTTTTTTACAGTACGCACTGCATTTTCCGCCGCCCCGTTCGATGCGGGGTGATATGGTGCGGTAAATATGTGAGTTATACCTCGATTTGACAAAAAAATATGTAATTCCTTACTAGTGAAAGGTGGGCCATTATCAGATACAATTTGTTTTGGCAACCCCCATCTCGCAAATAACTCTGATAACCTACTGATAGTATGTGTGGCGGACGTACTCGGTACTTGAAATACTTCCAACCACTTAGTTCTGGCGTCGATAACTACCAAATATATTTTATTGAAAATAGGACCCAAGAAATCAATATGCAGTCGCGACCACGGACGTGAGGGCCAAGGCCAGGGTTTAGGGGCCTGCCGCGGCGGAGCGTCTGCTTCCGCAGCGCATGTAACACATGAGCGGCACATATTTTCCACGGCCTCGTCAATACCGGCCCACCATACATAGCTGCGTGCAATGGCTTTTGTTTTAACTATACCCATGTGGGGTTCGTGTAGTTCTAATAAAACCTTAGTTTTGCAAGCATCAGGAATAACTACTCTGTGTCCCCACATAACACAGCTCAATTCTTCATATAATTCCTTTTTCCTATTGAAGAATGGTTGCAGAGCTTTTATCTCATTTTCAATGGGCCACCCATCTCTAATGTAATTAAGAATTCTACCTAGAATCGGATCTTTTAGTGTATGTTTCCTAATCTCATTATAATCCAATAACATTTCATTTTCGGCAAAATGTAAATAGGTCTGTTCGGTCGTCAACGAAAGCTTCTTCGGACTATTATCAATCGGAAGTGGCAGTCGTGACAACCCGTCCGCTGCATTTTGCTTCGTGTTAATATATGTAATATCATACGTATATGCTGATAATATGATAGCCCAACGCTGCATCCTACTAGCGGCCATAGTCGGTATTCCTTGTTTCGAGCCAAAAATACTAACTAACGGCTTATGATCCGTTCGTAACGTAAATCTACGGCCGTACAAATATTGATGCAATTTCCTAAAACAAAATACTATGGCTAGCGCCTCGCGATCTATCTGCGAATAGTGTTTTTCTGCGTCGGTGAGTGCGCGCGACACAAACACGACCGGCCGCTCGCCGCCGGCGCCGGGCTGTGTCAGCGTGCCGCCGATGCCGCGCGCGCTCGCGTCACATGTTAAGAACAATGGTTTCTTAGGGTCATAGTGAGCGAGTACCTGCGCGCTTATCAGTATAGACTTAATTTCTTTATAAGCGTTTTCACAGCTCGGTGACCAGTTCCATTTAACTTTCTTTTTTAATAATTCATACAAAGGTGCTAAAAGAGAACTAATATTTTTAACAAATTTAGCATAAAAATTTACTAATCCTAAAAATGATCTCAACTCGGGAACATCTTTCGGACGCGGCATTTTCGCAATCGCCCGAGTTTTATCCGGATCAGTTTTTATTCCATCTTTAGAAATAATGAATCCTAGGTATTTTACTTCATCGACCATAAAAACGCATTTGTTTTTCTTTAACTTCATACCGTATTGACGCAAACGTTCGAAAACCCTACCTAATACCTGCAAATGCAATTCTTTTGTAGGGGTTCCTAAAATTACGTCATCTAAAAATACTTCTACATGAGGTATGTCACTCAAAATACTCGCCATAATGCGCTGAAAGATACCGGGACTGGAGGATAAACCGTAAACGAGACGATTATATTTGAACAAACCCCTATGTGTATTGATTACGGTCAAATATTTAGAATCATCCAGCTCTACTTGGTTATACGCCTGGGATAAATCAATTTTTGAAAATATCTTAGCCCCATTTAGCCCAACTAATAAATCGTCTATTCTAGGGAGAGGGTACCGATCGACGAGTAAAACAGGGTTCAAGGTCACCTTGTAATCCGCGCAAATCCTTAGGCCGCCATCCGCCTTACGTACCGGCACAAGTGGAGTCGCCCAGTCCGAGTAGTCTACGGGTTCAATGATGCCGTCCCGCAGCATGGCGTCCAGCTCCGCGTCCAGGCGCTCGCGCAGCGCGTACGGCACGGGCCGCGCGCGGTGAAACACCGGCACCGCCCCCGGGCGCACGCGCAGCGTCGCCTTGCCACCCGTAAAGCGCCCCAGGCCACCGGAAAACAATTCATCGTGGCTGTGGATCAATGATGTTAAACTGTCACAATCGGATTTTACATGCTTGTCCAACTTACACACATAATTTACAAATTTTGGTATCTGAATCTTTAATTCGGTCAGCCACTGCCGACCTAAAAGGGAAGTGGCCCCCCCTTCAATAACGAATAATTCGAGAGATTTATTTATTTCCTCATATTTAACTGTAGGTTTGATTACCCCGACAGGCCTTATTTTAGTGCCATCATATAACTTTAATGATAAACTAGGATTCTCCATTGGTCTGTGGCTAAAATATTTATCATAAGTTAATTTGTTAATACAGGACACCGCCGAGCCCGTATCTACTTCCATTAATAATTTGAAATTATCTATAAATACAGGTAAACTCACCGGCTTATAGCCGTTTAAACTTAATTGATGCAGTTCCTCTTCAGCCTCATAATCCGACCCCGGGTCCTCCTCGGATACGCAATCATCCACATGCCCGGCCGGTTGCTCCGTTGAAGGCTCCTCCGTCACGTGATGCAGGCGCCGCGTGTTGATCTTGTCATAAAAACGTCCCGGACACACCCGCCTTAAGTGTCCACGTTGTTTACATTTTCCGCAGACGAAACGTTTATAACGACATTCTTCCCACGGATGATCAACAGACCCGCACACTTTACAACGTTCATAAATCTTATGAGAACGACTGATATTATCCCGCGCAACTCCTCGGCGTGGTGAGCGTGAGTCATACCGCTCCTTTCGAATCCGCCGATCGCCCGAACCAGCGCGGCCACCGCCGCCGTCTCGACCACGTGGGCTGAATCTCAACGCGTGTACTGCCATCGCGCCAGCCTCGCTCCCGGACAAATTCCCTGCTCCGAGCTGCTCCACCGCTGCGGCGTTCCGCTCCGCGGCCTCCATCGCGCAGGCTAGTCTAACTGCGTTAGCGTAGTCTAAATTATCTTCGGCGAATAATCTCTGCCTTATTACGTCGCTAGCCAAACCGCACACCAACTGGTCTCTCAAATTTTCCTCCAAAGTAGCTCCAAAATTACAAAATTTTGTTAATCTTTTCAACTCGGAGATGTATTGCAAAATAGTTTCTGTCTTAAATTGCCTTCGCTGCCTATAATAATATCTTTCTGCTACTACCGACCTTTTTGGTTGCAAATGTTCCAGAAAAGTTTTCACGATGTACTCATGGGTTTTATCAGACGGCTTATAAGGACTTATTAAATTGCTTAATAATTCATAAGCCTCATCGCCCATAACGGCTATCAAAGTTGGTAACCATAAGTCCTTTTTTACTTCGTTAACTTTGAAATACATTTCCAACCGCTCGATGTACAACGTCCAATTACCCGATTTAACATCAAATTCACTTGTTTTACCAATCGGCATTGTTAACGGTATTTATTTTCAGCAGAAACAGTTCACTCGCGTGCTACGTATTATCACTATTAGCGCAGTCTTTAACTTCTATTACTTTTGGTAACGGTAACAGGCTTTCACTTTTTCCTCGTCGCCATTGATATGTATGCGTAAATAAAAGGCTACCGTTTGGCTAGACGTTTATTAACGGACTGGTGGGGACAGCTTCGACACTCGGCTGACAGATAAATAATTATTCGATTACCTTCTAATATACTACAGTTATAATGTTATAACTTTAGTTATTTTTTACCATTTTTCGGAATTCATTAAAACACTGCTTATACTAACATTATGGATGGCAAATCTGTGCGAGAGTATGAATTTTGTGGTGTCCAGATATTGAGAAGTTTGAGCAAAGACGTATTTTTTGCTAGATTTCAGCTTGAACCCAATTTTTAATTTTATTGAATGTTTCCTTGTTATTCGTAATAAAAAATTGAGTAAAAACCGTAAATACCTATTATTAGCCTTAGTAATGTTTAGGAAAAATAGCATCATATTTTTATATACGCCATAACATAGTGCTGTGCAAAAATTATCGATATTTTTTTCTATTGGTCCGACGGCAATATCTAATAATAACAATTTAGATTTTATTGTCAGAAGATATTATAGCCAACGCTAATTAAATAGTTCAAGTTCAAAGTAAAGCAAAATTAGAATAATTATGTATTTTTTTTTCTCCTAACTAATAAATTCTTTTAATACTGTAATTATAGAATTTAATTACTTTCTGTTTTAGTTTTCAACTGTCTTTTGCAAAGACCTAGACAATTTATTATAGACTAAAGTTAAACCTGGACTAAAACTGAAGCTGTCACTTTTGTTTGCTAAAAAGAAGATAGAAACAACATTAGGTATAAGCCAAGGCTAACTTTAGACCATATTTTGAAATTAGGGTTACAGTCTTGACAAGCTGTTAGATGAATAACAAAGCTTGGTGAAAAGGTTTACTTCGCAATACATAAATTCATACATCTGTACCCCTAGCATGAACCATTATCGAATTCCAATAGTTCGCAAACTGAAATGTCAATGTCAAATTTTGTATGGCAACTTGTACAGCAGGGGCACAAAGTACGTAACGAGAACTAAAAATCAGTACACATTTGACAATGATATTTCGGACTCGCAAATGATACGAATTCGATATTGATTCGTGCTAGGGGTACTGTTTCCACCAAGTAAAGATGACAAAGAGGGCAAGAAAAGTAAAATTGAGTTACGAGTTATTCTTTCTCGGTGGAAGAGTAATCCTATTTTATGTATGCGAAGACCGCTCCGCTAGATAAACCCCTATTCATTCCTCTTTGGCGGTGGAAAAAGGGCTTTAGACTCGATCAGAAAAGTCTCTCTAAAGAGTAATTTAAAGTGCATATTATGCTAAAGCAGGTATTTTCCATTAAACGTAGCCACTCTAACACCGCCTCAACAGATGTTTCCCATCATAATTCTCGATTCGGGTATTCGACCGATTGCTCTTAATCCAGTTATGTCGAAAATTTACAAAAATATATCTATAAAGAGATTTATACGTATTTGGAACGAAAAAATATTTTTTGCAAAGAACAAAATGGTTTTCGTCAAAATAAAAATATTAACATAGCTTTATTTGAATTTCTAAATAATGTAATATCTAATATGGACAAAAGAAACCCTATTTCTGCAATACATTGTGACATGACACAGGCTTTTGACCACGTAAAACATGACATTTTATTAAAAAAACTTGACGCGTATGGCATTAGGGGAAATATATTGAAACTAATTGAAAGTTATTTAGTCGATAGAAAACAGTATACTGTCATCTCACAAATTAATCCTAAATCTAGTTTGGAAGAACATTACTGCTCAGAAACGCGCATAGTTAAATATGGAGTGCCTCAAGGGAGTACATTGGGTCCATTATTTTTCAATGTTTATATAAATGACCTACCTAAATCAGTGAATTGTCCAATTACTCTTTTTGCTGACGACAGTACTTTGACTATTCCGTGTAACGATCCTGACATTTATGAATATGACATTAAAAATTCTTTGACATCAGTTATTTCGTGGTTAGATAATAATAATTTAAAAATAAATTTTGAAAAGACCCAATTAATGACATTTAAGCAACGGATAAATAATGATCGACCTCTAAAAATTGATTATCAGAATTTTGACATATGTGAAGTGGAAAGTGCCAAATTTCTAGGTATTATGATTGACTGTAAATTAAATTGGAAATCTCATATAGAATACCTTAGTAAGAGAGTCAGTAGTGCGGCCTATGCGTTATTTAAATTGTCTTCTTTATTGAACACAGATGCCCTGCTTACCGCATATCATGGTTTATCTGCGTCAATTCTGAGATACGGTATTATCTTCTGGGGGAATTCTACTGATAAAGACACAGCATTTAAAATGCAAAAAAGATGCATAAGAGCAATGTTTGGTTTAAAAATAATGGACAGCTGTAAACCGTATTTCTTAAAACATAAAATTCTGACACTTCCGTCTATGTACATTTTTGAGGTTTTACTATTTGTAAAAGATAATATGCATCTTTTCGTTAGAATGGCTAATGTTATAGATCGCAATAGACGCGATAATAGTAGGTTGTGCATGCCAAACTCGAGAACAGCTCTTATGGGAAAAAACATATTCTGTATGGCCCCTTGAATGTATAATAAACTCCCGACATATATAAAAGAATTAAATTTTAATTTATATAACAAGAAAATTAAAAATATATTATTAGATAAATGTTATTATGATGTATCCGAATTTTTAAATGACAAATTTTGAATTTTAATTATGTTTTATTATTATTATTTCTATTTTTTTAATTAATTTTGACATTTTATTATTGAATTGAAATCATTTGAATTTGACATGTTTTATTATTGACATATTTTGACAAATTTTGAATTGTAATTATGTTTTGATTATTATTATTTCTATTTTTTGATTAATTTTAACATTTTTATATTGAATTGAAATCATTTGACTTTGACATGTTTTATTATTGAATATTAAGATTTGTGACATGATATTCAAATAATCTGCTGAATTTGTATGCCCATATCGGCACGATATGTTATGCACCACTAAAATCACAACACCTTACTTACACATGTTGTCTCAAATAAATATTTTCTTTCTTTCTTTCTTTCTTTCGATTCTCATCCCTCGCCAAATCGTTTTTTAAAGGTAACCCCTCTTCTCATTAATGGGACAAATGTTTTAGAGAAAAGCATTAAAATTTGATGCTTTCCTATGGAAAACCCTATGTAAAAACATTAGTTACCGTAGTAAGACCCCAGCCAGCGTGGACGATTGGCCTATTGTCACGTATGACAGAACCAGGAGCGACGATTGGGGCTTGTTGGATCACAGGGTTGTATATCAGCGCTTCCACCAAGCGGACCACAGTGATGTCACCATCATAATCCAATTTTCCGTAGGATGGGTGGTTGAATTCTCTCTCTACATTGATGACGCTACCACCAGTGTGACGGAAAGTAGCTCCAGCTCGGATGCGACGCCTACTTGGTTCATAGAATCTGCAACGATAATAATTGAATAATCATTCAATATAAGGGTAGATGATGTGATTTATCTAATCAAACATAAAGAAACATTTATAGTCTTTGGCGCTATCGCTTGTAGTAGTATGGAATTCCCCATATAAAACAGTATTATGAGAATCCTCGTGCCCGCTCTCATTTGTTGAAATTATATATTATTATTATATTATCAGAAAATACTGTTACTGGTCTCCATGATACCGACCCTGAGTTTTAAAATAGAGGAAACACTTGCATGGGGGAAAAAATCCTTTACGACGACGACCTCCGTGGCCGACTGGTCTGTACGCCGGGTTTCATGGTGTCGCCGACTCGAGAGGTCCTGGGTTCGAATCCCAGTGGGGGCAATTGCTTGTGTGATGAATACGAGCATTTGTACTCCAGTCGTGGATGTGTTATACGTATTTTCCATATAAATATATATATATATATATGCACAGTATATATATTCTATCCGTTACCCTAGTATCCCATAACACAAGCCTTACAGTGCTTACTTTGGGGCTAGGCTAATTGGTGTGAGTGATGGAAATATTTATTTATTTATAAATAAACAGTGTGCTAAAGAAAAAAGTCACCAATATTCTTCATTTGCATTGCAGGGAGGTAGTTGAAGAAAGCAACGTAGCACACGTCCTTTTAAGAAAATGACAATAAGGGATAAAGTAAAACACCTCCCTAGAATACTGCCCAAGATAATCGTTAGCACAATGCTGTCACCAGCACAGCATCAGCACCAGCGATATTATAAAAGAAAATCTATACTTACGGCCCATCAAAGCAGTGAGCTGCAGATAGGATGTGTCTCGTGTTTAGGATGCTACCGGCGCACCGCTGTGTCCAAGCTACAGGCCAGGAATCCAAATATTCTACTTGGACTATGGATGGGTGATCATTGATTGTGGTAGGACTACCGCCTACTATCCTATTCTGCTCACTAGCGTAACAGGAACCTAGAAAACAGAAGTCAGTCAACAGTTTTCTTTGATCATAATCATCTTCACCAGCTTATTAAGGTCCCCACTGGGCTACAAGCCTTCCCTATGGATGGTAGAGAGATTGGGCCGTAACCTAGTACGCAGGCCAAGAGCAGATTGGTGGGTGCTCACGACTGCAGATACAGCCGGGACCAACGGCTTAGCATACCTTCCGAAGTACGGAGGATTTTGAGATTTTGGTCACCCATCCAATGACTGACCATTATGAAAGTTGGTTAACTTTCATGATCGCAGGCCGAGTACGCTAACCACCTGTGCCATCGTGCTCCTCAACTTTGATCACAGAAACTCATTGAGAGCTATTAAAAACAATCTTTTAGAAGACCACAGTGAAATACTACAACGTTTTGGAGGTGTTATGTTTCTATTGATGAATTTAGTAAAGTTCCAAGACTCCACGTTGTAGAGGACAGGGTAAAGTCAACGGTACAAACTATACCTACGGCGCTTTGGTAGTTATTGCAAGTGTCTATAGTCTATGCCGGCCACTCACCATCAGTTTGTCATATGGCCTTGTTTGCGACCTAGTTTTTTATGATAAACTAGCTGTGCCCCTCGGTGTTACCCGCGATTTATTAGGGATATTTTCCCGCATCAAAACGTAGCCTATGTGTTAATCCAGGGTGTCAGCTAACTCCATACCAAAATTTAATTAAAATCGCTCCAGCCGTTTAGACGTGAAGAAGTAACAAACATACACACTCACAAACTTTCGCCTTTATAATATTAGTGTGATAATATAACTAAATATTTCCAATACTCACACTAATTCGCCTAGCCCCAAAGTAAACACTGAAATCCTTGTGTTATGGGATACTAGGGTAACGGATAGAATATTTTATTTATGTAGAAATACATAAGTACAGTTAAAATTCATGGCTGGTATAAACATCTATGACTTAGGTACTATTGCCCCACCGGTATTCGAACCCGGGACCTTACGTTACGAGTAGGTGACATTTTGAAACCCGGCGTACACGGCCACGGAGGTCGTCAGGTACGGTAGGTACCTACTGCGCTGCATCGGCGGACCCGCCTTACGCAGCGCTGCTTTAATGAAATAACACGAAACTACATGCACGTGTCCACCAGCCCGTTTTCTTTCAAAAATATTAGATAGCGTAGTAGTAGTGTTAAAAAAATATACTAGATGGCGTGCGTTGAAATTTGATAATCTAAAGCCCGAATAAGCTGCTGAGCCCCGGGATACAGTATGGAAATACTCGAAATGGTATAAAATGGGTGCCAATGATCCGAAAAACAAAAACAAATGGTTACATTATATTACTTTATAATTTGTTAGACTATCAATTTAAATATGTATATTGCCGCGCCATCTATGAACAGCTTATAGTACTACGACAAGATGTTAAACACCCTCCAATGACATACGCACCAATTTGGTTGTAGTCAGGCTGTTAGGAACCCAACTGTTGGATGGTGTTTAGAACCCATGTACGCTAATCCATGTCTTTCCGCGCATAACTCTAAAAACCTACTTATAAGTACTTGTTTACCAATAAAACAAAGCTAAGATCTTTATAGAATTCTAAGGTTGACTAGTAGAGAATGCCTAATGCCACGAAGCCGCTATTTGTATAGTTACTTATGCAATTAAGAATAAACAAATAAAAATAAGAATTCATTGCGGTCTTTTGTACAGAGAAGATTATTTCGCCAGAGGAATGTGAGCACTACAATTCCAAATTCACCTATCTCTCTTAAAAATAAAGTAATAAACATAACGTCGTGGTTACTGTAAAATGTTAGCCCAAATCGTTTTATCATTAAATTAAGAAGGAGTTAGCTTTGAAAACAATTAAGCCATCAAAAATTAAGAAAACTATGCTTCCCTTACTTAGTTTTCAGTAGAAAAAAGCAATTGTTAACTTTCGCTTCCAGGTAGTAACCTGAAAGTTAACAATTACGAATATTCACTAAGCATACCTAACTTCACATTGTACAAGTAAGAGATTTAAATTTTTAAACGAATATAGAGTCTATTTTTGCAGACCAAAAATACCGCAAAAGTCCCTCGTCTGCGTAGGCGCAATAGTGTCAACAAGACTAGGCAGTTTACATTGATGATTCCCTGATTTCTTAAACTGCACTTGCCTAAATTTAGTTTTAATACCGGATCTCACTACAGAACAAGTAAACATTATTTACCTGCTAGAAGCGCTATAGTCCAAAAAAGTAGAGAGGCCATCCTGTCCACAGCTGCTGGTGTCACAGTCACTTTCAAAGTATACCTTGATAAATTAGTCGCAACGTTTATATTGATAACCTTATCATGGCTTCTAATTTAATTACTCACATTCAGATTGCATTGGATTATCTAACGATATATTTTTGAATGTAATTGAGTTGAAAGAATTTAGGTTCCAGTTGGTATTAAAAGTTTTCAAGTTGTAATTGTAACCAACACTTATTTAGATATTAATCAAAGAAAATTAATATGTCAATCTTTTTAGTGGATAAGTAAATCATTACTGGGAATTGGCTGGCATGATGGACTCAGTTGAAGGTAAAATTGTATCAGGTTCCAAGTGGTCATAAAGGTAAAGCTATAAAAAACATATGAATTTTGTCTAGTCTATGGGAAAATAACAGTTACATGATTAAACCAAAAAAGCCCACAGAAAAATGAATAGAAACCTAGATGAGTTAAGATTAAATGTCGTTCTCAGAAACGTCAAATTTTTATATTGCATTAAGTCACATTCTGTTGTTGTGGCAAAGAAAGTGACAGCACAAAATTTAACGCGCAACTTGACATTTTTAAGAAATAATTTCAACGAAACTCGGTAATTATCGTTAGAGATGTGTTATTAGATATTTGTGAAATCGATGCGCTTCGGTATCAGATAAATCGCATCGGATGCACGCATCGATGCCAAGTGAATGACAGTATCGTAGTATCGCAGGTTGCAATGCGATGCGAAAACATTGCACTCAGAGAGTAGGTTTTGAATGCAGTCCGTTGCCACAAACTTTTCTGTGCTGATGGTAAAAATTTTAACTACAATTTATCTATAGCATTTTGTCATTTTTATAAGATATTTGTTCACCGCTAGCGACATCTTCACCGGCACAGATATTTGTGGCACTGTTGCTATAGTAATGTTGACAAAAACTAGATGTCATCGGCATCTAAAAACGGCATCCAGTCGCATCGCATCCAAACCTGGCATCGTTATCGCGCATCGTTATTCTAAAAACGCCCACCCCTAATTGTCGTGCGTATCGGTCAGCATTGCATTGAACACTAAAGCAGCCTACTGACATACCTGCCGCAGGGACAATCTAGGGTGCACGGCAGTCGGGGCAATATCGGCTTGTCTCTACATACATGCCTGATATTCAGTGTTCGGGGGTATGTTGAGCTAAACACACGCGTTGTTGATGGTCCCAGTATTAACAAAAATCAGAAGATCGGTAGGTAGGGTCTTGGCTTTTTCTATGGTGTAAGCGAAAAAAAGGAAATACTGGGTGAAGAATTGGCAACAGAAAATAAATAATGTTTATATTACTAGAAAAAATTCCATGCGGACCTGGCAGCAGACGGGACTCGAACCCGCACCCTTCGCTATCCGGGCTGCAATTGCATTGACCAATTATGCTACTGCGGCCCTAACGGCTGTATCGAATTCTTTATAGCCTTTCTTAAGCTGCAAGGCAGCGCCATCCCTTCGCATTGTAGGTAACTCACAATGTCAAATGAATACCTTTACAAGTATTAAACATTTGAAAGAACAAATAGCAATTAAAGTTATAATTTTAAGATCAAACTTCATGCTCATTATGATATGCCGCCAACTTGATCGAAATACATGTACTCCGTGTGACAGCTACCAATCGAAAGATTGAGAAATTGCCCCAATCGCGCTACACACGCGGCAAAGAGCAGGGTGGCAGGGACAATCTTGGTCACTACCAAGGATGGTCTCACGCCTCTGCCGACCTGCCGCAGGGCCGAATTTTAAAATTGCCCCTGCTTGCCTACACACTTCTCAATTCAGGAGGCAATTCAGAGTCATCCCCACTCTTACACCCTAGATTGTCCTTGCGGCAGGCATGTCAGTAGGCCGCTTAAGTGACGGGAAACGACTTAGACCCCACCGGGTGGGAGATACTTTCTTCAACGTTACCTGCGCTGCCACACTCTATCTAGTGAGTAAATAATCAAAGCTATAAAAGTAGTAGTTAAACGGAACATCGTGCAATTATGGCTACTGTAAATTAATTATCTTTCAATGAAGTTTAATTGCAAGTGTCATCTATCATTATACCAGTAGATTAATTTAATCAATTGCTGTTTTATCAATCTTATCATCTTTATTTTACAATTTTCCAAATCGATTCCTAAGAATGGTTTTTCAAATATTCTATTGGAAATTCCGCAAATGTTCACGTGGAAAACTGAACAAGATAAAAAAGTGGCCGTAATACTCAGTACAATAAACGACATAAAGGCTCAAAATAAAGATATACAAATGCCTATTGGATTTATGTGGAAAAAATATGATGAGATCTTACAAAAATTGATAAATTGGAAATTGAACGAGACAATAGTCTAAAGTATATAAAAATCTTGGAAAATAAAATCGAACAAATAGAAAGAGGACAAAATTGTTCACGAATTGAGCTGCGTGGTGTCCGAAAGAAGGATGCTGAGACCAAAAGTGACCTTATTATGCATTTGCAACATTTGGGTAAGGTTCTTGACGTATCCGTGCAGTCAAACAATATTCGTGATGTTTACCGCCTCAATACGAAGTCAGAGACCTTTAAATCAATAATTTTGGAATTCCATAGAGTCATGAAGAAAGAAGACATCCTTAAGTCACTAAGAACATTTAACCGCGAAAACAAAGAAAAAATTAATACTACCAAGCTGCAGATTGAGGGCCTCTGGCACCAGTTTTCATTTCCGAATGCATGACCCCACAAACAAGAAAACTTTTTGCATCTGCAGGGAAGTTTGTGAAGGATAATTGCTATCGTTACTGCTGGACGTCGTTTGGAAGAATATACTTACGTAAATCTGAGGGAAACAAACTCATACGTGTGGACTCTGATAGTGACCTGGACAAATTAAAGTGACTAAGTAATCCTACCGGAAACGCAATTCATGCAAATAATGATTTCTTGTATTTTCTATCAAATATGTCTATTAAGTAAACAGTACATAAAAATAACACCTCAATTACTCAAAAACATAATAAAAACTCACTTATATGGGTGTTTCTCTGTAAACTCGTTCAGGTCCCATACAAATGTTGCACTGGCAATTTTTTTGAAAATTTGCATAAAAATCGAATTCTTTTTCAAAGAAAATTAGCTACTCTTTTAGTCAAATAAGGAGGTCCACTGAATTTACACGTATTTTCCGAGTTATTAGTTTTGTATGAAACTCCGTATCCAACATATAAAACTCAAACTCTGCAGAGTATAGATCCTGAAGATAGGACCAGTTCACCTTACCAAGAACATTCAATTTCATAGATAGCAAATATATTAGTGACTAACTTGACAAACTCAGCCCTCTAAAATGTATAGCTTTAGATGATTCAGCTAACTGTGCACAGTTGTTAAATAAGGAGAAAAGAAGTGGCTATCTAAGTGTAGTTTCATTCAATGTTAGAAATATAAACAAAAACCTCGACATGTTTTCAGCATTCCTAGCAACTACAAGAATTAATATTGATGTAATGGTGCTCTGAGAATGTTGGGAAAATGATAATTTCAGGCCTACTGCGGCTCACGGTTACAAATACTACGCGACCAAAAATTCCATTAATCAAAATGATGGTATCGACATTCAGTAAAAACCATTCACTACGAACCAAAAGATAAAGTGCACGCTAATTGTCTTATCGTAACTTTACCGGATAACATATGTATTGTATGTTGTTACAAATCGCCTTCCTTTAGCAACGTAACTCCATTCCTCAATTCGATCGACACTACTCTGCAATCCATATAAAATCCCACTTTAATATTTACTGGATATATTAATATAGATATCCTCCCGGGCAATGATAAAGAATCTGTAAATGATTACTTAAACGTTATATATCTATGCATGGATTAGAACAAGGGGTTAATATTCCTACAATAGACAAATCATTTATAGACCACTTTATGGTTCGGTGTCCTGTAGATTGGCAAACAATAGTATTTGAAGAATTAACTGACCATTCACCCATTCTGTTATGTATTAATAAATCTATGAGTAAAAGAAACCTATTACTGTAAATAAAAAAATAACAGAACTAGATAATATCGAAAACCATTTAAAAAATGAAACATGGAGAGAGTACTACAAGATACAGTGTATGCTTTCCAATTACAGAGCATAATGCGACTCAGTGCCGCACAATGCCCAATTATGCTGATGCTTAATTGGAACGCGAATTAGTTTTCAAATGCACCAGCAGAGTGCGCTAAGTTCAGTGTTGAAAAAAAAGTCAATGTTTGTACCTTCATCCATACTTATATTTATTTTTTAACAGTTTGAATGAACTTTGATTATTTAAAAAAAAAACTATTTAATGAAACGAAAGCTTTAATAATTTTTCAACAATAAATAATATTACTAACGATAACATATAAATAAAACATTTCGATCAATGCCAACTTAGAGAAAAAACACTTGTTAATTTTCTGTCTCTAAGTTGGTACCATTGCACGCATCACACGAAAGCATCACTTTTGAGAGTGCTCAATTGTGCGAAGCGTTGCTGTAGTTGGAACACTCAACGTTAAGCATTATGCCGCATAATGCGCAATAATGCTGTAATTGGAAAGCAACCAGTACGTCCAATTGGCTGCCAAACTATTGACGAATAAACTAATCAAACTACTCAACGATAATACAATAATAAAAACAATACCTACAAAATTTAAAACCTTGGATAACTATTTCAGTGGTTAAGTCTATTAATCGAAGAACTTCATTGCAAAAGAAATTTAAAAAACATCCCCATGATATTCTAGTGAGAAATGAGTACATATAATATATAAATATTTTAAAATATAAAATCAACAAAATCACAACTTAAAAGATAAATATTATGGTGTGTAATGGTATAAATTTAGCAATTGCATGTAAAATTACTTCTACCCAGTTTTAAACACGGTTTTAAACCGTGTCTACGTCCAAGATATTAAGACATACATCAATACCTTGGGGCTCAAAATGAGTAAAAGCCAAAAGTAGATTTTACAGCAGAGCCACATAACAATTTTTACAATATTTTGTTTTTTTTTTTTGTTTTTATAGCTTATTAAAATAAATTCTA